TGTGTGTGTGTGTGTGAGGCCGACGGGCTCAGATCAGCGACAGGAATGACATCGCCACCCCCCACTGTCTGTCTCTTATTGGGGGCATGCCTCTGCGGGGCCCACCACTACGGCAACAGCCGCACCTATCTCTCTCTCTTCCTCCTCCTCACTCTGACTGCTGCAACAGGGACGGTGCGTACAAAGGGAATGGCCTCCGCCACGAAGAAACGGCACACCAAGAAGGTCGCCAAGAAGGTCAGCCGCAAGAGCGCCGAGTACTCGACGCTGCGCAAGAGCTGCACGCCCGGCACCATCGCCATCATCCTCGCCGGCCGCTTCCGTGGCCGCCGCGCTGTGATCCTGAAGCAGCTTGCCGGCAACGGTCCGCTCGTCATCTCCGGTCCGATGAAGTACAGCGGTGTGCCGATTCGCCGCATCGACTCGCGCTATATCATTGCGACGTCGACGAAGGTAGACCTGAAGGGCGTCGACACNGGCGCCATCACCGCTGACGTGTTCGCGCGCCCCAAGCAGGAGAAGCGCGTCAAGTCGGAGGGTGACTTCATGGGTGACAAGGCCAAGAAGGCGGCGGAGCGCAAGGCGAAGAAGACGTCCAAGGCCGCACCAAAGGGCACCGTCAGCGACAGCCGCGCGCAGCTGCAGAAGAAGATCGACGCTGCACTCATTGCGGCCATCAAGAAGGACCCCCTTGGTAAAGAGAAGGCCGGCTACCTGCACTCTGTTTTCACCATCAAGCCGGGTGATGTGCCCCACCGCATGAACTGGTAGACACTGTATGCGTGTGCCCGTCTGTGTGGGTGGAGGAGCGGCACGTATCCACGGTACGCTTGACTTGTTCCCGACGATATTCCTTTTTCATGTTTTGATTTCGGTTTGTTGCCGCGCACGCTCGCCCACACCACCCACTCCCGTGAGAGGATGGGGAAGAGTGCCCGGTAACGACGTAACCCACACAAAAAAAAAAANAAAAAAAAAAAAGAACAAGACCCAATGGGGGCCACCAATGGTGGCGTAAGGAGGGAAAAAGGAAAGACGAGGAAGTGAGAAGCAAGGATTCGTTGTATGTCATCTATCTGTATTGTTGCCCTTTCTGTTGTTGTTTTTCTTTTCTTTTTTGGTTGTGGTGGTGGTGGTGGTGCCTGTCTACTCCATTGTGGGTGTGGGTGTGCATTTGTAGGAAGCGGCGAAGACAACCCCGCTTAAGCGACATCAACGCACATACTCATAAACATTAGCACAAACAGCCGAGTCGCAACGAGGGACCGTGCAGCATATCATGCCCTCCGCACCTCTGCCAGGACAGGTGGCGAAGTACAGCAGCCCTCTCTTCATGTACCGCCGCATCATTAAAAACGCGACGCCCAAGGCGCCCACAGTGTTCACGGCGAAGGACAACGCCAAGACCGCGTTTCACGTCGTGACGCAGCGGCCGGGCTTCACGAGCAATCCGTACGCCGTCAGTCGCTGGTATATCAAGGAGAAGGTGCACAGCAGCAATAGAAACAGACTGGAGGGCCTCTACGAGTGTGTGCTCTGTGCCTCTTGCACTGGCAGCTGCCCACAGTACTGGTGGAACCGCGAGCACTTCCTCGGCCCCGCTGTTCTGCTGCAGTCGTACCGCTGGCTCATTGAACCGCTTGACCGCGACTACGACAGCCGCGTCAAGATGTTCGAGCACGGACCGCTGGTGAACTTCTGCCACAACATCTTCAACTGCAGCANCCCGCGACTACGACAGCCGCGTCAAGATGTTCGAGCACGGACCGCTGGTGAACTTCTGCCACAACATCTTCAACTGCAGCATCACCTGTCCCAAATTCCTCAACCCTGGGTATGCGTCAAAGGAAATCAAGCGCATGTGCTCACCGGCCACGCCGCGTGTGCCGCCGCCCCTCGACACGCCGGAGATCAAGCACTAAGTGTGTGTATATGCCTTACTGGGTCTCTCTCTCTAATTGTGTGTGTGTGTGGAGGGAAGTAGACGTTGGACCAGGTGGATGAAGGAAGGAATAGGTGTGTAGCAATTCAATTATATTTATATATTCAGTAGGGAGCAAACTTCTGATGTGGAGGATTTCAGTTTGTGAGATGAAAAGAGTCCGTTGGCAAGCATGGCAAGAATGTGAACGGTTTGGTGGTTTCCTTCTCGTTTGTTTGCTTGTGTGTTTCTTCTTGTTTGCGCTTGGGGGGATGGGGGGAGGGGGAGAGAGGAACAATGTGGCGCCGTTCTGTCTGTCTGTCTCTGTCTCTGTGTGTGTGTGTGTGTCCCGCTCTGCTGGCCCCTCTCTTATGACCTCATCTACTCGGCCAAGCAGCCACACGTGTTGGTGGGAGTGTGGGGAGACAGCAGCGCCGAGCAGGAAAGAGAGAAAACGAACGCAAAACAAAACAAAACAAAAAACAGATTCCCGCAGTGTGCGCGGAAAATAGCGGAGGCGCAAAGTAGGACGGGAGATGGCGGCGGCGTAGACAGCCGCGTTGTGGTGACAGAATGGTGTCCCCTACGCAACTCCCATTGCTCTCCCTTATTGGCTGTGTCTTATTCGGAATGAATCTTCGATGCCGCACGGCTGCTTAACTCGTAGGGCACACACATCTGCTCGTTTGTTTGTTGTTTTGCTTTTTTGTCTCTCTCTTTCTTTTGCACCCTTCTCTGCTCTGGGATGGTCTCACACCGCCACCACCACAGCTGCTGCTGCTGCTGCTTAAAAGAGCAGGCGGGTGGGACAGGAGTAGCCGGGGGAACGCAGAGGCCACAACGAGCATACGAAGCGGACAACGACAAGAACAACAACAACAACAAGAATGTTTCTCAGCTTCTCTGTCACGGGAGTCTTCCTGCGGCCGTTCGTGCAACTCTTGCAAACAGCATCGAAGCAAGGCGAGGGGCTATTCTTTGAGCCGCACGATGACGTGCTGCAGCTTCGCGCAGTGAACAGCAGCCGCAGCACCCACCTGCTTGTCAGCATCGCCACCTGCCACCTCGAGGCGTACCGCTTCTGCACCACGGCGGATTCCAATGAAGCGAACAGAAGCACTCCACCACAAGGGGCGCCATCGTGCGGCGATGATGAAGGTGACGAGTTCTACCTGCTGCTGCCGACCAAGGCTCTCCTCGCGACGGTGCTGCGGCAGACGCAGGGTTTGTGCGCAATGCACATCCGCTACAACGGCGCCGCGACGTCTGACATGATGGTGGGCGACACGCTGCACTGGGAGTGCGTCATGTCGTGCGGCACAGTAAAGACCTTCGCGCTGTTTCTGGCGGAGGGGCGGCCGGAGCGTGCGTACGTGTCGCCCGACTTCTACAGTTTCGACGCGTGTGCGGCGGCGAAGGTGTGGGGGGCGCTCCTTGGCTGGTTTCCCGCGTCGACGCCGCGCGTTGTGGTGCAGCCGCTGGCGTCGCGCCTCGAAATGTGGGTTGTCGACGACGCGGAGGATGGCGACGCGCCGCTCGAAACCGGTAAGGCTGGCGGCGCTGACACGAAGGTGGTGGCCTCGCAGGAACACTTCCTCTTCATGCACTACCAACAGCAACAGCAACAGGACGGTGAGCATGTGAGGTTGAGTGCGACGTCGCTGGAGGGGGGTGAGGCGCGCAACACCGCGAGGTCGCAGGGTGTGCTGCTGCTGCCCGGCAAAAGCATCGAGGTGAAGCCGTTCAAGCAGGTGTGTCTATTGGCGGACCAGCTTGGCATGATGATCCGCGTGCGGACCGGTGGAGAGGGTGTGCATCTCTTCGTAGAGGCCATTACTACGCAGGAGGCCATGCAGACAGCAGCAGCAGTGTCGTCGTCCGTATTCACAGCGGACAACGCGGCCGCTGCCCCACAGACGCTTTTCCAGCGACACGCGGCGCTGTCCGAGACTGCATTGCGGGTGAAGTTCTCCATGTACATCGCGGCATTCGACGTGCCGCACCGTGCACTGGGGAGCGGTGAAGGGCTGAGGACCTCTGGCCGCCGCTCCATCACCTCCACAGTGACTGCAGTTGCGGAGGGATACGGCACCGCCCCGATGTCGTCGGACATTGCCGTTTCCTCTGCGAAGGTGCATCAGTCCGCTCTGACGACGCGTGGGACGCCGACTGAACTCTTGATGCCCTCGACGCACCCAACGGGTCTGCCAATTGCCTCTGCTTCTTCTGCTCCTGCTCCTGTTGTCGGGAGCGTCACAACGCCCCCGCGTGTGTTGGCTGCTGCATCCCTCACCCAGTTTCCTGGGCGTCTGAGTGGTGATGTGTCGGTTGTCAACGCGAGCCCGATGAGCGCATCACTCGGTGGTGGCGGCAGCGTGGTAATGGTGGCGGCAACGCCTGAGGCTGGTGGCAGTGGTGTTACTGTGGCGCAGCACAGCGGCCACAAGCGGTCTCGCGAGGGTGGTGATGGGGAGGGACAGTCGCCGCTACAGTGGGACGGTGACTACATCGCCACCGCCAATACCACTCATACGCACGTGGGGGACTCGCCATCGTTTGTGGCGGCGACCAATGCCTCGATGTGTGAACACACTTCACCACGAGAGAAGCTCCAGCAACAGAAGTCGATGGACGGTGAGCTGCCGTCACAAAGTACGCCATATCCACTGGATTTCAATGCCTTTATGCGGGAGCTTGCGGAGGAGGCGAGGGAGGGCAAGGAGGAAGATGAGGATGACGATGACGATGATCTGCAGCGTTTCCTTGAGAGCTGCGCATCAATGCTCGTGGTGCCTGCGACGCCGTCTACGCATCCTGAATAGCCTCCACAACACATTCACACCACCTCACGCACAGAGAAGCGTGTATGTGTGGGTGTGTGTGGGTGCGGCAGACAGAGACAGAGGAAAGGTGAAGTGTGGTTGAGTATGCCTAATCACAGAGTGGAAATGCGCGCATATGCATATATATACATCTCTCTGTGGGTGTGTGTTTTTCGCTTGCCTGGTAAGTTCACATCACTGCATTGACTACTACTGCGATTGTGTTGTTTTGTTTTCGGTCCTTGCGGTCGTGTTTGTGTCCGCTTTGTCTTCACCCTAGTATAGGGAGAGAGAGAGAGAGAGTGTGTGTGTGTGTGTGTGTGTGAAGCAGAAAGACACATGAGCCAAGCAGAGGGTCATCGGAAGACTTTAGACGCTACGGTGCGTGATGACAACCCCTACAGCCGTCTCATGGCGCTGCAGCGGATGGGCGTTGTGGAGAACTACGCGGCCATTCGCGACAAGTCCGTTGCCATCATCGGCGCCGGTGGCGTCGGCAGCGTCGTGGCGGAGATGCTGACACGCTGTGGCATTGCCAAGTTGCTGCTTTTTGACTACGATAAGGTGGAGCTGGCGAACATGAACCGCCTCTTCTACCGCCCTGAGCAGCAGGGCATGACGAAGGTGGAAGCAGCGAAGCAGACACTCGAAAGCATTAACCCTGACACGGAGATCGTGCCCTACGCCTTCAGCATCACACTGACGGAGCACTGGCAGGACTTCGCCGACGCGCTGACACAGCACGGCGGTGTAAGGCCCAACACGCCAGTGGATTTGCTGCTGTGCTGCGTCGACAACTTTCAGGCGCGCCTGACGGTGAACTACGCCTGTCTTCAGTTCAGCATCCCGTGGATGGAGAGCGGCGTCGCCGAGAATGCGGTGAGCGGGCACATACAGTTGCTGCTGCCGGGTGTGACGCCGTGCTATGAGTGCTGCCCACCCCTCGTTGTGGCAACAGGCATGCCGGAGGCGAAGCGCGAGGGTGTGTGTGCGGCGTCGTTGCCCACCACAATGGGCATCGTCGCGGGTTTCCTCGCGCAGAACGCGCTCAAGTACCTGCTGGGCTTCGGTACCGTAAGCGAGTACGTCGGCTACGATGCGATGCGGGATCACTTTCCCTCCGTCACCATCAAGGCAAACCCCGAGTGCCGCAACGAGACGTGTTTGGCACGGCAGCGGGAGTACGCGGAGCGGCGGGCCGCAATGGGCGACGCGGCCCACCCACTTTACCACGCCACGCAACTCCGCGCGGAGCGGGAGGCGAAGGAGCTTGAAGCTGCAAGAGCGAAGGCTGCTGCTTCCGCAGCGGAGTGGGGCATCGTCGTGGAGGCACAGGGTAAAGAGGACTTGACCGTCAGCTCACAGCAGCAGCAGCAGCAACAACAACAACAACACGCTCGCGCGGACGGGAACAGCGGTGTTGAGTATGCGTACGGTACCAGTAGCGCGGAAGGCGCTAGGGGTCATACGGAGGAGGAGTTTGTTGGTGCGGGGAGTGGCGAGTCACTCGAGGCGTTGATGGCGAAGATGAAGGCACTGCAACACTAAACGCAGGGAGTTGGGAGTAAAGTGTGGGCGCGTTGCATTCCCCTCTCAAACTTTGTGCGTGGAGAGGTTACGGCACGGCCTGGATGGGGGACTAGGACAGGAGCCTTGCCTCATTCTTGGATCCCTGCAGAAGCGGGAAGTAGGCCTCCCACTCACTCGCTCACACCCTCTCCTTTCTTTCTTTCTTTCTTTCTTTCTTTTTTTCGCGCTGGACTCGCTGCTCACGTTGTGCCGTGTCCCGCGTTGGCACTCCTGTTTCTCCGTCCTATTTTTTTTTCCCTGCTTGAGGAGGCAAGGGTTTATTCATACATAATAAAGCTGTGTTAGTGAACTCACTCAGACTATTGGTGTAGTGTCGCTGCAGCATGTCGGAGCAGGAGCCGCTGAAGGAAATCTCGGGCAAGTGCCCCACGCCAGGTGAGCTTGGCCACTCGGGCTGGAACGTGCTCCACAGCGCAGCAGCTGTGTACCCGTACAAGCCCACGCCGCTGCAGCAGGAGGCGTTCCGCAGCTTTATTCACGGCTGGTCGCACGTGTACGCCTGTACTCACTGCGCGTACCACATGCGGCGCTACTTGGAGCGGAACCCGCCTGTCGTCACGGACAAGCTGGCCCTTAACCGATACATGTGCGAGTTCCACAACACGGTCAACAAGAGCGTTGGTAAAAGAGTGTACGACTGTGACCCGATGATTGTGCTACGGCGCTGGCATCCGAAATATCCGGATATGGAGGATCAGCCGACCGTGGAGGAACAGATTGAGGCGCAGAAGAAGCTGGATCAGTTCGAGGCACAAAAGGAGTTGCTGGGAACGCAGCAGCAGCACCAGCCACGCCGTGAGACACATATTCCCTTGACAAAGGGCGATGACGGCGGTGTTGGAGGCGGCAGTAACAGCAGTACCTCTCTACAGCGCCCATCAGAGCGGTGGCGTGTGGAGAGCGCCGACGTCAAGAGCAATGTGGGCACGTTCGCCGCGGGTTGGGGCTCCTTCGGCCAACAAAAACAACAACAGCAGCGGAAAGATGAGGCCGTTGCCCCACCGCGCCAGGAAGAGTCGTCAAATAAGGGCTGGTGGCTCTTCGGCGGCAATTCGACGCGCGGCGACAACTCCTCCAGTCGCAACGACGGTGCGGCTGTCGGTGGCGCCGCAAGGGCTGCTGGCACAGGCGGCAAGGTAGCGGATGACGAAGCCGATGTGCTCTCCATCATGAAGCGCCTGAAGGCCTGCATGGTGTACTGCCCTGAGAACGACAAGAATGCGCCGTCGACGTAGCCGCGCCGCGGGCCGACAGGCATCACACTCTCACCCCTCTTTGTTGACAGAGCGGCATATGCGTGGAGGTTGGGAGGGGGGGATTTGACCGTTGGCCCCGCCCCCCTCAGCCCCTCATCTCATCGATTGCTTCCCCTCGTGTGTGTGTGTGTGTGTGTATTTTGTTGTTTTGGTTTGTGTTGTGGCGCTTTGCTCTCTCCGCTCTGCGGGGCGGGGGTGGCGGCCGCACGAAGCATACCCAACGCAAGCAAACAACGAACAAACCAAAAAAAAAAGGATCAACGAAGCAGCCACATCATTCTTTTTT